CTCCAGCCATAGCGAATATGACTGGTTTACAGACCCTGTTTCTCGACGCAAACAGATTTTTCGGTGAAATTCCTCAGGAGATATTCAAGATCAAGTCACTTTCAAAGTTAAACATCAGCAACAACAACATTACCGGTGAAATCCCTCCTTCAATTTCTCAATGCACATCTCTTAATTCAATTGATTTCAGTAGAAACAGTCTCACTGGAGAAATTCCCAGACGTATTTCTAAGCTGATCAATTTGAACATCCTCAATTTGTCAAGGAACCAGCTTAGCGGGGAAATTTCAGATGAAATCGGATACATGACGAGCCTCACAACTCTCGACCTTTCAGATAACGATTTCTCTGGCAGAATCCCCACCAGCGATCAATTCTTAATCTTCAATCAAATCTCGTTTGCTGGAAACCCCAAACTCTGCTCATCGCACCAGGACAATTGTACATCTTTGGGAAACAGAGCTGGAGCTTCAGGCCATAATGCGAAGCGCTTCACCGCCGCGAAACTCATAATCACAGTCATTACTCTGGTATCTGCTTTGTTATTGATAATTGCGGTTGTTTATCAAATGAGGAAGAAGCGGCTCCAGAAACCCCTTGCCTGGAAGCTAACGGCATTTCAGCGGTTAAATTTCAAGGTGGAGGATGTCCTGGCGTGCTTGAAGGACGAGAACATAATCGGGAAAGGCGGATTCGGAATTGTGTATCGGGGATCCATGCCAGCCGGCAACGACATAGCAATCAAACGATTGGTTGGTGGCAGCAGTGGACGGAACGATCACGGTTTCTCTGCCGAGATTCAGACTCTCAGCCGAATCCGGCACCGGAATATCGTGAAGCTGCTCGGTTACATCTCGAACAAGGAAACAAACCTGTTACTGTATGAGTACATGCCGAAAGGCAGCCTGGGGGAGCTGTTGCATGGATCAAATGGCGACCAATTGAAGTGGGAGACGAGGTACAAGATCGCCGTGGAGGCGGCGAAGGGACTCTGCTATCTTCACCATGACTGCTCCCCGGTTATTATTCATAGGGACGTGAAACCAAACAACATTCTTCTTGATTCCAATTGTGAAGCACACGTGGCGGATTTTGGGCTTGCCAAGTTTCTCCAGGTATCCGGTGCCTCTGAAAGCATTTCCTCCCTTGCTGGTTCCTTCGGTTACATTGCGCCAGGTTCGTAAATTTTTTTTTTCCTCTCTTCTGATTTGCTGCGATTAATATCCCTGAACCGTCTGATTTTCCACAGAATACGCCCACACGCTGAAGGTGGGCCACAAGAGTGACGTGTACAGTTTTGGGGTGGTGCTTCTGGAGCTGATAACAGGGAGGAAACCGGTTGGGGACTTTGGGGACGAAGTGAACATGGTGCGGTGGGTGAGAAAAACGACGTGGGAGCTTCCTCAGCAATCTGAAGCGGCATCGGTGCTGGCAGTCGTGGACCCTAGGATGAGTGGGTACCCACTGATGAGTGTAATCCACATGTTCAAGGTAGCCATGATGTGCGTTGTGGACAATAGTTCTGACAGGCCCACGATGAGAGAAGTGGTTCACGTGCT